CGCTGAGTTCTTGAAACTTTAGATTGTTGCTAGCAGAAATCCTTGGGAACTTTGCAACCTTTTGAATAAAGCATCTTCAATGGCCTCTGGGCTGCCAAAGGTATGTTCAAATCTGCTGCAAGCAGCATTAAGGCCTGCAGCAGGGTTGTCAATATAAACTGCTTTGAGCCTCTTGATGCGTTCAGTAGACTGGGGACCTTGCCATCTGATGAGCTGATCTAATTCCACTGTGGCATTGATGTCTAGGTCACTCATTGTGGCCTTAAAAGTGGATTTCCAGCCTCTGTAATTTTCAGGCTTGTCATCAAACTTGGTGAGGCCTGTCTTAACAAGCTCTCTGCGGAAAAACCATAAATGTCCAGACAGCACTATATGTCAACGCACAGGTGCACATATAAAATATAAAGTCCCAAAACGCAGAAAAGACTGCAAGCCAACACGTAGGTGCTCATGATGGGTGATCTCCAAACTGGGATGATAGTAATCCTGAATGCAACCACAAGGGCCAGCTCACCTTATGACTCCCACCACGATGGTGTGGCTCTGTGGGGGAGTGTGACCTGAAATTACTAGTGAACAAGTACCCTGTGCAACATCTTGGTCTGGACGTGGCATCGTGGTGGGAGTCATAAGGCGAGCTGGCCCTTGTGGTTGCTTCTTGGAGGTGAGGGGGCATTTCTGCCATTCAGGATTCCTATCACCCAGTTTGGAGATCACCCATCATGAGCACCTACGTGTTTGCTTGCAGTCTTTTCTGCGTTTTGGGACTTTATATTTTATATGTGCACCTGTGCGTTGACATATAGTGCTGTCTGGACATTTATGGTTTTTGCATGTGCATTTATTATGATCTACGGGAGAGATTCCACTATTTAATATTGCATTGGTCACAGTTGTTGTTTCTTCACCCCCTGAGGGGTCACTTATATATTTACTATCAGTTTCCTATGTGGACAGGAGGAGAGGTTGGTTTGCTTATTGTTTTTCCATTTGGAAAAGGGTCCACGTTTATAGCTACAGGTTTTTACCTGTTCCACTTCTTGCAGCAACTCATTAGATCCGATTGGATCAGCACTTTGTATGTTCACTTCACTTTTATGCATCATTTATACATTTTTTGCTGTTTATATGTACTTTTTATGTTATTTTTTATCTGTATTATATATTTACTAGCGCTTCACCATTGTTTTTATCATTGTTTTTTACCTAGTGAAGTCAGGTCAGGTGACAGCAGCTTCCTTGTAGCTCTCTCCATTTAAAGCGCAGGAGGTCTTACTCACGTTTTAATTCTTCCAATGACCCTTGAGTATTGTACTGCTTTAAGAGAGCAGTGTAGTTAACACACAGTCTTTGATAATTCTCATAAGCAACATTCAATTACTGGATAGCACCCTCTAGTTGTTTTGGCTCATGAGATTGTTGGAAGAGAGAGACATGCATTTAACAGTATTAGACCATAGCTGATATGTCGCTTAGTAGGTTAGTAATGCGAAAGGAGACTGAAGGGGTGAGATGAGGGGTAGAAAGATAGATTTGTGTGTCATCAGCATAGAGATGGTACTTAAAGACATGGGAATTTATCAAGTGACCAAGGGAGAAGGTGTAGATGGAGAAGAGAAGGGGTCCAAGGACAGAACCTTGAGGGACCCCTACAGAAAGAGGAAGTGGAGAGGAGGAGGCAGCGTTATAGGTAATGCTGAAGGAGCACTGCGATAGGTAGGAGGAGAACCAGGAGAGAGCAGAGTCTCTGAGACCAAGAGAGTGGAGTTTTTTGAGGAGGAGGGGATGGTCAACCGTATCAAAAGCCACAGAGAGGTCAAATAGTAAGAGTACGGAGTAGTGGCCATTGGTTTTAGCTGTTAGTAGATCATTAGTGAGTTTTAGTAGGGCAGTTTCAGTGGAGTGTGGTGAGCAAAAGCCAGACTGTAAAGGGTCAAGAAGGTTGTTGTCAGTGGGGTGGGAGCTCAAGCGATTGTAGACTAAGCGTTCTAGGAGTTTAGAGGTAAATGGCAGCAGGGAGATGGGTCTTAAGTTGTTCAGGTTGGTGGGGTCCAGGGAGGGCTTTTTAAGTATGGGGGATGTGCGCATTTTAAGGAAGGCACCAGTAGAAAGGGAAAGTTTGAAGATGTGAGTGAGGGAGCATAGGATGGAAGAAGAGGGTGACCATAGTAGTTGTGAGGGAACAGGATCCAGGGGGCAGGTAGTGAGATGAGCTTCTGAGAAAACCTTGGTGACCTCTTTGGTAGTAGCAAGGTCAAAAGAGCAAAGTTTTGAGGGAGGTTTAATATAAGGTATGCTAAGTGGGATGGATATCTGTGCAGTGGTGATGCCCCTACGAATTGCGTCAATCTTGTTTTTGAAATGATTTGCAATCTCGTGAGCATTGAGTGAGATACTGGATGGAGGTGGAGATGGAGAAAGTAGAGAGTTAAAAGTAGAGAAGAGACGACGAGGACTGGATGACAAGGTATTAATAAGAGTGACCAAGTAGGCTTGTTTGGCAGCATGAAGGGAGGAATTGTATGTTAAGAAAGCAGATTTATATCGAGTGAATGCTTGCTGGGATTTGGTTTTACGCCACAATCGCTCCAGCGCACGACTATGTCGTTAAAGGTTTCTGGTGTTGTCAGTCTGCCAAGGTTGTAACGGTCGGGGGCTGATGCTTCGTGTTGTTAGAAGAGCAAGCGAGTCTAATGCAGATGAAAGTGAACTGTTGTAGACAGCAGTGGCCAGGTCAGGGCAGGACAGGGGAGAGATTCTGTCATAGAGTTGGTCAGTTGCAGAGTGGAAGGGAGCAGGGTTCAAGTTGTGAAGGTTTCTGCGGGTAACTGTTTGCTGCTTGGAGGGATAGTTGTTTGAAGACGAGGACACTGTGAAGGTGATGAGATTGTGATCAGAGAGAGGAAAGGGGGTGTTTGCGAGGTTGTAGGGAGTGCAAAGATAGGAGAAAACAAAGTCTAATGTATTCCCATCAGAGTGAGTGGGGGACTGTATACACTGTGGGTTGATAGAAAGTTTACAGAGAAATGTATCAATTTTTGTGTGGGTGAGCTCAGGTTTCCTAGGCAATGGTTGCAGAAAGGTTTTCTTTTACTTTCTTACAAGATTTACAGACAACCATGTGCTAATGCATACAGATGCAGTGTATAAACTTGCAGTTGGAAGACATTCACATCAATAATTTGTCCTGACACTGATGCGTGTTATGCTGAGATATACTTGCAGACATGTACAGACTTGTGTAGAGATGGCTGCACTCTCTGTAGCTGTCCATATAACATCTCAGTGTGTATCCAAAGCCAGCAAGGATCATATGAAGACATTTCACTGATCGTTTGACTAGCAAGGATCCTATGAAGCGTTTCACAGATCATTTGACTGTTCTGTCTCTCCAATCTAAGCATTGAAAGTGGGATCTCTGTAACTTACAGTTGTGATGAGATAGCGATAACTTCAACCTCAGTTGGATACCACAGTCAGTGACTCAATGGAGGTGATATCTTGTAGATCTTGTGAAGTTTATTCCATAAACTGAGAGATTCTGTCAGGAATGGACTTGCCAGTAATGGTGGGACTCACCTGCCTTGTGGGCTGCAGTACCAGGGCTGGCCAGCGGGTGCTCCCAGCAATCAGAGACTCAACCCTGCAGCCAGCCAAACACCTGAAACTGCCTATGCAGGTGTATTTAAGTGATTGCCAGACCTGCAGTCTTTGCCTTGGTGTGTGTGTTTTTCCTGGGCCCTGTATCTTGTTCCTGCATCCCTGTTCCTGTCCCTGTCCGACTGATTCGTTGCTGACCCTGCCTGATCCGGACCTCTGCTGACTTCTCCTGTTTCATCCCTGGCTTGTGACCCCGACCATTTCTCTGCCTGACCCCCTGTTACCTACCTGCCCGATTGTTATTGACCCGGCCTGCCTGACGACGCTTGCATTGTATGTACTGTTATCTGTGGGTGGTTTGGTTCGTTTGCACTGTGTTATGTTTTAGTATTGCACTGCGTTTATGTTTGTATTGTTAGTCTTCAATAAATTATATTGTTTATAACTTATCTGAAGCCTGCGTTTCCCTGCGTCAGTCACATACCTCTGGTCATACCCTGGAGCCCTGACATTACACCAAGGCCAATCCTGACCAGAAGTGGCTGCACAGGGAAGCCATCTTGGCTTTTTGCTGGGAAGGATGGATCTTGATGAGGTTGTGTATTTATCTCTGCTAGTGTTTGATGACAGAGAATATGCTTATCAGACTCTGAAGGAGTATACCAGGGATCAACTACTAGAATGTATACGGATTGCTCATGTTCTAGTAGATCAGGGCACAGAGTTCTCTGAGGTGCAACCTTTGATTCAGGTTTGTGTAGAGTTGGCTTCATCTGGTGCCCCTGAAAGCAGGAATGACTTTTTGCCGCCATTTAGTGCAGACCAGGTAGAGTCCCTAGTATGGTTATTAGAGGATGATGTGGATTGCTTCTTGGAGCATTATGCTGCATGTTCACCACAGGTATTAAGGGATTGTATAAACGCAGTGCAGTCTTTGGTCAGACAGGCTTTGTGTAAGCTCAGCTTTGTTCAACCCATACTGCAGACATGGACAGATTTGTTGCACCCAGACTCAGTCAGCTTACAAAAACCCAGTCCTGCTTCTAATCTATTTCCTCAAAGCTCTATTCCTGCATTCCCAACAGCACCTCCAGTTGCAGCCCAGTATACCCTGCTATCTACCGCATGTCAGTACCCTGTTCCCACTCGCTGCACCTATCCTGCCTTTAACCCTGTAAAGAAGCCCTCTGTAGCAACTGTTCCCTCTCCTGTTCCATCCTCCAGCTCTTCTCTGTCTCCAGCTACTCCATTCATTTGCAGACCTGCGTTTACTTGCAGTGCTCCAGTAGTTAAAACCAGAAAAAAGCGAAAATTCTTTCCAACCAGTACCATCCTGCCCAGTATCCAAACCGGTGAGCCTGCCGTCTGAGAACCTGCCTTCCGTGGTTCAGCCTGGTGCCTCGGCACCCGCACTTCAGCCTGATGTCTGTACCCAGCCTGATGTCTGTACCCAGCCTGATGTCTGTACCCAGCCTGATGATGTCTCTACCCAGCCTGATGCCTGTACCCAGCCTGATGAACTGACCAAGCCTGATGATCCTATCATGCCTGATGACCCGGTGCCCGCTGTCATGCCTGGTGACCCGATGCCCGCTGTCGAGCCAGACGATCCAATGCCCGATGACCCAGTGCCTGCTGTCATGCCTGGTGACCCGATGCCCGCTGTCGAGCCAGACGATCCGGTACCTGATGACCCGGTGCCCACTGTCATGCCTGGTGACCCGATGCCTGCTGTCGAGCCAGACGATCCAATGCCTGATGACCCACTGCCCACGGTCATACCTGGTGACCCGATGCCCGCTGTCGGGCCAGATGATCCGATGCCTGATGACCCGGTGCCTGCTGTCATGCCTGGTGACCCGATGCCCGCTGTCGAGCCAGACGATCCAGCGCCAGATGACCCGGTGCCTGCTGTCGAGCCAGATGATCCGGTACCTGATGACCCGGTGCCCGCTGTCGTGCCAATTGACTCAGAGCCCACTGTCATGCCTGGTGACTCGGTGCCCACTGCCTTGCCAGATGACGCGGTGCCCGCTGGCGAGCCAAATGACCTGATGCCTGGTGACCCAGTGCCCGCTGTCATACCTGGTGACCCGATGCCCGCTGTCGAGCCAGACAATCCAATGCCTGATGACCCAGTGCCCGCGGTCATGCCTGGTGATCCGATGCCGCTGTCGAGCCAGACGATCCAGCGCCAGATGACCCGGTGCCTGCTGTCGAGCCAGACGATCCGGTACCTGATGACCCGGTGCCCGCTGTCGTGCCAATTGACACAGAGCCCACTGTCGTGCCTGGTGACTTGGTGCCCACTGCCTTGCCAGATGACGCGGTTCCCGCTGTCGAGCCGAATGACCTGATGCCTGGTGACCCGATGCCCGCTGTCCAGCCAGATGATCCAATGTCTGACCCAGTGCCAGCGGTCATGCCAGTTGACTCGGAGCCCACTGTCGTGCCTGGTGACTCGGTGCCTGTCGCTCCGCCTGGGGGCCCGAGACCCGTCGCTCCGCCTGGGGGTCCGGCGCCCGCCGCTCCGCCTGGGGGCCCGAGACCCGTCGCTCCGCCTGGGGGTCCGGCGCCCGCCGCTCCGCCTGGGGGCCCGAGACCCGTCGCTCCCCCTGGGGGTCCGAGACCCGTCGCTCCGCCTGGGGGTCCGGCGCCCGCCGCTCCGCCTGGGGGCCCGAGACCTGCCGCTCCGCCTGGGGGTCCGGCACCCTCCGCTCCGCCTGGGGGCCCGATGCCTGTCGCTCCGCCTGGGGGTCCGGCGCCCGCCGCTCCACCTGGGGGCCCGATGCCTGTCGCTCCGCCTGGGGGCCCGATGCCTGTCGCCCCTCCGCCTGGGGGCCCGATGCCTGTCGCCCCGCCTGGTGGCCTGGTGCCTGCTGCTCCGCCTGGTGGCCCGATGCCTGTCGCCCCGCCTGGGGGCCCGATGCCTGTCGCCCCGCCTGGGGGCCCGATGCCTGTCACCCCGCCTGGTGGCCCGGTGCCTGCTGCTCCGCCTGGTGGCCCGGTGCCTGCTGCTCCGCCTGGTGGCCCGGTGCCTGCTGCTCTGCCTGGTGATCCGATGTGCCTCTGCCCGGAGTCCAGCCCGATGTGCCTCTGCCCGGAGTCCAGCCCGATGTGCCGCTGCCCGCAGTCCAGCCCCGATGTGCCGCTGCCCGCAGTCCAGCCCGATGTGCCGCTGCCCGGAGTCCAGCCCGATGTGCCGCTGCCCGGAGTCCAGCCCGATGTGCCAGTCTTTGATATCCCGCCAGTTACCAGACCCAGGCGGTGGAACATTTAGCCCAGCTAGGACTGTTTGGAGCGTCCTGAGGCCGCTCCTTGAGGGGGGGGTACTGTCAGGAATGGACTTGCCAGTAATGGTGGGACTCACCTGCCTTGTGGCTGCAGTACCAGGGCTGGCCAGCGGGTGCTCCCAGCAATCAGAGACTCAACCCTGCAGCCAGCCAAACACCTGAAACTGCTTATGCAGGTGTATTTAAGTGATGGCCAGACCTGCAGTCTTTGCCTTGGTGTGTGTGTTTTTCCTGGGCCCTGTATCTTGTTCCTGCATCCCTGTTCCTGTCCCTGTCCCTGTCTGACTGATTCGTTGCTGACCCTGCCTGATCCGGACCTCTGCTGACTTCTCCTGTTTCATCCCTGGCTTGTGACCCCCGACCATTCTCTGCCTGACCCCCTGTACCTACCTGCCCGATTGTTATTGACCCGGCCTGCCTGACGACGCTTGCATTGTATGTACTGTTATCTGTGGGTGGTTTGGTTCGTTTGCACTGTGTTATGTTTTAGTATTGCACTGCGTTTATGTTTGTATTGTTAGTCTTCAATAAATTATATTGTTTATAACTTATCTGAAGCCTGCGTTTCCCTGCGTCAGTCACATACCTCTGGTCATACCCTGGAGCCCTGACAGATTCTTACAACAATGAACATTCGATAGGTCAAAAGATCATAATGTGTCCTGCTTCATAACATGAGGCTAGAGCTGCAATGCATTTCTGGGAAAAAGGGTGGGCTATCTATACAGCATTAACTAAACCAAAGGAAAAGGAAGAGCAGAGACAAAATATAGAAAACACTTAAAGGCATATGACCGTCAATATGACAGTTATGTGAAACATGACAAAGATGCTCCCATAGTGTGATAAAGTTTTAATTAAAAGAAATAGAGTAATACAAGTGCCCACTCACATGTATATAACTTTAAACAAGCCTTATGTGAAACCACATGCTGTGAGTGTACTTTGCATTGGTGTCTATTGGAGTACCAAGATGGCATCCACGTCAGAAATTACATTACAACGTCCGGAAATTGCGTCACCACGTCCCATGCATTACGTCACATCAGGGATTGATGAAGTATTAGCGTGACGTAACACATGGGACGTGGTGACGCAATTTCCGGACATGGTGACGCCACCTTGGTACTCCAATGGACACCAATGCAAAGTACATCCACAGCATGTGATTTTCACATAAGGTTTGTTTAAAGTTATAAACATGTGAGTGGGCACTTGTATTACTCTATTCTTTTAATTAAAACATTATCACACTATGGGAGCATCTTCCTTTTTATCTTCTCTGGCTGTATGAGGATTGGCTGATCCTAGGATTTCTGAAGAGGCTGCCTACTGTGTCATTATCCATCAGTGAGGGGGAATGATCCATCGTTGGACCCTATACCTTCAGGAGGGGCGTCCGGGTTCCCGGTTGGTGCGTTATTGCTTGAACAAGCGCTTTGACCCTGTGGGATTGCTTCATGGAGGTGAGGGGGCATTTCACCCAGTGTCGGATCTCTTTCTATGTATAACCTTTCATACACCAACACCATTTAAGGACTATAGAACACCTCTGCCATTTTTAGGTGGTTTTGGACTTTATAGTTTGATTGAATCGTTATAAATTGATGAGACTCACTTTATATGTTGGATGATTTATATATGGTATTGGACCTTTTTTTGATCTATTACTTTTATGTGTCACGGATTTACGCTTGTGTCACTTGTTCTATAATTTATCCCCTAATTTTAGGGTCACAAATAATTAGTTCATTCTTATTTATACTCTACTATTTACATTTCCCAGCTACAGGATTACATTATATAAGCTTTGTGGCTTATAATTTTCCACCATATACAGCATTGTATTAGTGTCACTTAGTCACAAATTTTTTCACCTTATCCCCAATTAGGGGTCACTGCTATATGGTTCACTTTAATCATGCCAGTTTATATTTTGGTTTGAGTTTTGGTCTGATCAAATTTTTTCAGCAACTGTGTTGCGTCATATCAGCTTTGTGGTTTTCACCATTCACCACTTTTTCAATAGATTTTTATTTTCACTATGTGCACTATATGTGTCTTTACGCTGATATTTTTATAGCCAGTATTAGTTGGCACACGGTATAACTGAAGGTATTTTTTCACATCACAGCACTATTTTAGTGCATATTTAGCACTGTAATGGTGGGATTCTGTTTGTGGAATTATCACCATTTATGTTGGCACCATTTATGGTTACTAAGGATTGTCACCTATAGTCACCTATTTATCATTAATGGTGTACCTAGGTTACACCTTAGATTTATAATTTTGGGGGTATTTTCACTGTTATCTCCATTATTTTGGATTATTCATGTGCATTCTATTCTATATATTTTTTTTTTTTTTTTGAAGATTCCATTTTATAAGTTCGATTTGTGAAGTTTTTTTGTTTTTTTTATTTCTTGATTATTTGATATATACATTTATTAGCGCAGCACCAAATAATTTCTATTTAGCAATTTATCCATAGTGGTATGTCTTAGGGTGTTGGCAGCCTATTGGCAGAGATTGACAATTTAGAGTGTGGGAGGACTATATAGATGCATATTTAGCTACCCATGCTTCTTTTGGGGTAGATAGTACTAACAATTTGAGACTTCTTGGCCTGCACATCCATTGGCTCAAGAACAGGTAGTTACAGAGGCTCTATAAGTATGGAAAATTTGCATAAGATCAGTTCAAGTTGAGATAAGAATAGGTTGTGTTCCAAGAACATAAGACCCCTTTCACACAAGTGGACCGATCAGATCTGCTTGTCCATTTGTTAGGCAGACCCAATCAGATCATCCATTGCCTCTATGGAGTAGCGGATGTAAACACCCGTCTGCATCCAATCTGGCCTGCTAAAAACAGAGGAATGGGGGATCTGTTCTCCATCTGTCTAGCAGATAAAATCGGATGTGAGTCAGATGTAAATGTATAGGGGGTCTGTTTACATCTTAACACCCATAGAGTAAAATGGGCTGTGTCTGTATCCACTCTGCATGAGTAGAGCAGACGTGGACCTGTCAGCTGCCTGCTCAGCGGGGATCAGCGGAGAGATTCCCTGCTGAGCAGGCGGATCCGCTGTCGGAGTCCACCCACATGAAAGGGGCCTAAGTGACAAACGTTTATGTTGAGCTGGAATATATTTCTTTACTTTTTCTAACTGTAGTAAAAATCATTGTATTATTCATAAACAAATCTTATAGTGCAGCGATACTGAAATGTAATTCCGATATCAACTCATATGACATACAAATAAACATATTAGTAAAAATAAATTATCAAAACTGATATCACATGTGCCCATATAACACATGTGTAATATAGTAAGTGATCTATAGTCCCTGCTACCATTAACGGACTGGTAACTTAGTAATCACTCCACACGTGTAGACATATACTAGACCCCTCTGAATCACACACTGCAAACGTGATCAGTGTACATACTACGGTGACCAACTTATATATTGAGAAATAATTTCCCTAATGCAAAAGTTCATAAATAGTTCAGATTCATGCTCCACTCAATAACAGTTCAAAAGTGATAACACAGGTGATGATTTCCAGTGATGGTGTCAACACACTCCTCTTATGGCTAGATTGCCCCCTCACCTTCACTCTGCGACCCAATGGGCCATCACACCTCCAAGATCACTTACAGATCTTACTCTAGTAATAATAGATATCCTCAATACTCCTTCCGTGGACCCCTTCACAGGTGGATCAATATTCATGACTCTCAGGACAGTGACATCAACTAAATATACCACTCATCATAGAGCATGATGAGTGAAGAAAAGATCCTTCATAATGTAAACCATCAGCTTCTTTAATAGCGTAAAAATGCCCCCACTCACTTGTAACATGTAAAATGTAGTTTCCAAACAGCAACAACAAACCACATGCATGGGTGTACTGCATGGGTTAGGGCTCATTCAGGTGTACTAAGATGGCGGCCGAGCCAGATGTACGTCACCGTGGACCGGAAGCTGCGTCACGGCGTATTTACACATTGCGTCACTTAACACGTGACTTCCTCAGGATAGGCTTGCATTTATAGGTACTCCATGTAGCGCAGGAGGAATTTACACTAATTTATTGCATTATTCAAGTTTTTGCTTTATTCAAATGTTTTATATCTGTAGTGCTCTCCTAGTTAGCTAGGGGGAGCTAGAATCCTTATTGATAGAGAGGAGGTCTGAGGAGTAGCCTGGGTGTGATAGTCAGAGGGTCAAATTGTGGTCAGGAGCTGAGAGG